TGCAGCGCTTCCTCGGGGGGCTTGCTCGCTGCCCTCCGCCCGAGAAGGGCGTATTCGGTAGCTACGGCGTCCGTCTTCTCCGGCTGGGGCAGCGAGCAGCCGCCTGGATCTCTCACTCCCCAGTCAGCTGCCATCCAGGGGGCACATCTTGTCCCTGATGGTTCCTGAAGCTGTGTGTGTGTAGGTTTTTTTAAAAAATTTTTTATTAGTCTAAGTAATGATACTAATGTTTTTTCTTTTCTTTTCTTTTTATCCTCACCCAAGGACATTTTTCCATTTTTTGTTCAGATAGAGTGGGAGGGAGAGAGAGGGAGAGAGAAACATCGACGTGAAAGGGACACATCGAGTGGCTGCCACCCGCACGACCAACCAGGGCCGGGGACACACTGCAACCGAGGTACATGCCCTTAGTGGGAACCGAACCCGGATCTCTCTGGACCGCAGGCCGATGCTCTAACCGCTGAGCCAAACTGGCCAGGGCTTCTTTTCTTTTTTTATCCTCACTTGAGGACATTCTTGCATTTATCTTCAGATAGAGCCGGAGGGAGAGAGGAGGGAAGAGAGAGAGAGAAACATCGATGTAAGAGAGACACATCGACTGGCTGCCACCCACACAACCCCAACCGGGGCCAGGGACAAACCGAGACCAAGGTACGTGCCCCCAGCGGGAACTAAACCCGAGACGCTCGGGTCTGCAGGCTGATGCTCTAACCACTGAGCCGAACTGGCCCGGGCTGTGTGTAGGTTTTTATAAGTGTGTATATAGGTGTGTGTGTGTGTGTGCGCGTGTGTAGGGATGTGTATAGGGGTGTGTGTGTGGGGGGGTGTGCATGTGCGTAGGCATGTGTATAGGGGAGTGTGTGAGTGGGTGTGTGTGCATGTGTGCACGCACGCGTGTGTGTAGGAGTGTGTAGGGAATATGGAGCCAGTTGCCTCAGAGACCTCCCACCTGTTTAGGTCCTAAGCACTTGCATTTCCTTCTTCCTTAGAGTCTGTCCCCTGGGAAATGGTACTTACAGAGATTGAAGAGTTTAATACATTTCTTGCTTCCTCTCTCTTTTCTGAGGCCCTGAGCAGGAGCAGCAGAAGCTGGAGCCGGAGCCCCCCTGCCCCCTGCCCCAAATGCCCGGGTGAAAGAAGGAGGGGGTGGTGTGGAGCCTCAGCCAATTTGGAAAGCTCTGTGACCCAAGCACATTTTGCAGCGGCGGTGTCAAATTCTGCCATTCAGGCATGCCATTAGTGTGCACGCTGCCACACAGAAATCCGTGACAAAAGGCACAGCCTTCCCCACCCTCCTGGTGCTTAGAAACTAACAGCTCTAATGAGAAATGAGAGCTGAAAGGAGAGAGACGGGGGCAGGCCACATCAGTGCAGGCTGGTGCGGATCTCGGAGGAGGCTGACCCATTTCTTTCGGAGGTAAGGGGCCTTGTGGACCAGCCCACTGAAATGCCACTTGAATTAGCCACTGCTCCCTGCACAGAGGTCCCCTCTGCCCTCACTCCTCCCTCATTTCTCTTGAAGGGAACCTGTCAACATGGCACTACAGCTGCTCCCTTTTCCTCTTTCTTCCCTGGGGCATCCTCTGTCCCTGCACCCAGTGGACTTTTAGAGCCATAAGTCACCCCGAGTCCAGCAGACCCTCTTCAAAAAGCCAAGCGAAGACAGCTGAGTGAGAGCAGGTAGGCATGCATCGCTCCGAGTCCCCCTTTCCCTGGCTTTTTGATTGTGCCGTGAGTTATTTAGCCAACAATAGATATTTGTGTATATTTTTAAAAGCGTGTATTTATTAACAGCCTGCAAAGGGGGAGACTAAGATTTATACCAAAAGTTCAGTGAGTTAAAAGGGACAATTTGAGGAGCAGAAAGAGATACCGAGCATAGAATTGTAAGGGATATTTTAATGCATAATCAAAGGTTCTTGAGGTATTTTGCAAGTAGACAGAAGGTAAAAGAAAATTGGCTCATTATGAGCTGAGAGTAGGGTATTGGTGACAGGGGATGGAGTAATGGCTGATGGGCTAAACTCCTACTTAGAGGCTGGTGAGGCCGGAGAGCCAGGCTGGGAGGTGAACCAGAAGGTGACCACAGCCAGCTCAGCGGGCTTAACAGTATGTTGGCCAGGACCCCGTAAGCTTGCCCCTGGTCAAAGAATGTGCACTGAGAAAGGCTGGTGCCCTGTAGGTCAGTTTGATTAGGGCCCTGAGGAGCTGGGTCCCGGAGGCTTCCAGCCAGCTCCAGGGAGCCTTCCCAGCAAACATGTTCTCTCTGAGGCGAGACCTGCACGTCGTCCTCCAAGAAGCCTTCCTGCCCCCCTCGCCTCTTAAACCTACCAACAGGCCTTCTGGAGTCCCATTTGCCATGGTGGCAGAGTGCTGGGTGACTAGGTAGGTGATGAGTAAACATTTGCTAAATGGGCTTCTTGGCTCCCTGGTAATGAAGAACTCCAGCAGGAGAGAAGTGGGGAGACGCAGTTTGGGAGGCTGGGGATGGCTGATAGTCAGCCAGAGCAGGCACGTTGAAGGTGGCCGAGGGGGTGTCTGGGCGTTGTGCTTGGAAGCAAGGAGAGGGGCTGAGGGCTGAGCCCTGTGTAGACGGGAAGGGAAGGGGCACAGGAGACAAGCCGGTATGGGATACTTTCCTAGCTTGGAAGCAGCAGGTGTCTGGGAATGGGACGCTGGCCCAGGCAGATTTCCAGGGAACGCTCCAGCTTGCTGGCACGAGGAAAGGATCTGGCTGAGCAGAAGAGGCAAGTTGCGATGGATGATGAAACCCACTGTTGAGGAACATTGGCAAGCATGACACTGGTGGGGACCACGCACTTAGAGAGAGAATGTGGGTGCAGGGTAGGGAAGAGGACCTCATGTGGGGAGGATACACTTCCACTTCCAGAGTCCCTCTGTAGGCTCCCCAGGCCCCCCCCTTACCAGACCCACCTCCCAGATCTCTCCAAACAGCATTCCCAGTCCTCAACTTACAGCTCTTTGCTGATAACCCAAAAGTGATGCTATTGCATGCCTCCAGCCCTCTGCCCCACGTTCTTCTCTTACCACTTCATCCTCTGAGAACCACGGAGTGTCACCTCCTCCTGGAAGCCCTCCCTGACTGCCCCCACCCCAGGTGAGTTTCTCACTGCAGGGGATAGGCGGGGTAGGCACTAAAACAGGCAACTGTCCTACACTGGTTTCACTAATCCCAAACTTGTTTCCACATTTAGGCTCCAAACTCCTTGAAAGAGAGCCATGTCTTCTCATGTTTAGGTCCCCAGCCTGGACCAGTGGCTGGCACACACAGGCCCTTGGTCAGCGCTTGTTGAATGAAGGGTAGGAAGCCAGAGGAGCTCTGGGGTCATGGGAGGAGCTTTGCGGAGAGACTCAGACCACCAGTGGCTACGCAGCCCCTCCTGCAGGTCACCCCTGGGAATGGAGGGCTGGGTGGCTGGAGGGGAGAGAGGGGGCAGAGGAGGTGGCTTCCCCCGGGGACTAGTGCAAGTGCTGAGTGAAGATGGCAGAACTGGCTCCATCAGGATCAAAGGAGTGGCCTCCGCCACTGGGAAGAGGATAGAATTCAGGGAGGAACCCATACCTCCCGGCCCTGAACCACCCAGGAGGGATGCTGGGTCTGGTGAACACAGGGGCCTCTCCTTAACCCTCCACTTGTTCATTTACTCTGAGGTTTTGGGCAATGGTGTCATACCTGGGTAGCATGTGACCTGCTGAGTGACAGTGATGTCATCCACGGTAGAACTGCTTTTATTCCCTCTCCCTGTTAGAGAAAGCTGCTAAACAGGTAGAGGGAAACAAAGGGGCACCCTGGGCCCCTTCGCCTTGTCTCTAATAACCGCTGGCGACCAGAGACCGTGCTGTGCTTGACAGAAGCGGATCATTTATAGAACATTAGCATTTCTCGTTCTGACATTTTACTTCCATATTATAGGGACTTACTAAGTCTTTTTAAAAAAATTTAATAAAGTGCTCGGACTCTTGATTTTCCCGCTGAGGGCTTTGCTATCTAAAGTTGGAAATGAAATCAACAACCCAACAACATCCTTGTGTTCTAAGGGGCAGCCAGGCTTTGGCACTGGCCTGGATAAGAGCAGGCAGGCCATCAGGGAGCAACCGCAGGCCAAATACAATTTGTTCTGCCCCTGGTAGACTCCCTCGAGTGCCCATTTCGAGCCTTGTACGGACGGAGGAGGGTTTGTGCAGACCTGAAAACAGACCTGCCCTGGCTCCGTTGGTTGGAGCATCATGCTGCACACCGAAAGGTCACCAGCTCGATTCCCAGCCAGGGCACATACCCAGGTTGCAGGTTCAATCCCCAGTGGGGGCATGTATGGGAGGCAACCAGTCAATGTTTCTTTCATACATCAATGTCTCTGTCCCTTTCCCTCTTTCTAAAACCACTAACACATATCCTCGGGTGAGGATTAAAACAAACACACACAGCTCTCCTCCCTCTCTCTCTCCTTTCTGAGGCCAGAGAGGCAGGAGCAGCCTCCAGACCCGTCCACTGCTATCTGGGTTGGTCCCTGGACTCCTGGAAATCCCTCTGGACCCCAGGCACTGGTGGTTCCTTTCCAGCCACCCCGAGCCCCCTAGGAATCAATAGCTCAGCTACTGTTGGTGAGGCCCTTGGGAGCAGGCCGGAAAGGATCCAGGTAGCCCGCTCCAGGGAAAGCCACAGAGATGGTGCCGGCCCAGCAGAGCCAGAGTGTGGGAAGTGAGTCATGTTCTGTGCTGGCGAGAAAACCATGGAATGAAAAACAAGAGCGAGTGTGTGTGTGTGTGCATGTGCACATGCGTCCCAGTGAGTCAGTGTGCCCCTGCCCCGTACAGCTCCTCCCGCCAACAAACATGCTGTGTTCTCAGAGCTGTGCCCAGCCAGGCTCGCCCACCCCACAAAAGCTTGAGATCTGCCACCCCTTCAGGAATGTGGGGCTAGGAAATGAGAAACAGGGTTCTTGTCCAAGAGAAAATTGTTTTATTATTATTATTCTCTCTTAATTGGATTCAGTGTTTCTTGCTCCTCATATACATCCTCTCTGGTGGGGAATTCAGGTTTGTGCAAAGCGCAAAGGAGACTGTGCCCACCCAGGCCCCAGCCAGCAGCATGGCCAGCTCTGACTGGAGCCCTTGTCCCCTGTCTGAGCGTGACTGCCTTACTCCCTGTACATCCCCGCTCCTGACCCCTGAGTCTGGACCCCAATCTCTGCCCAGCCCCGAGTTTCTTCAGGAGGACCAGTAGGGACAGCCCCTCCATAATGCAGTAGCGCCTGAGATGGTTCTTGAAATGCCCTCACTATTCCCTTCTGCTAAGGCTGCCTGATGCTTTCCTTCCTGCCACCCTACACAGGGCCCTTGCTGGGATGTTCATCAAAGAGCCTCAAGGAAAAATTCTGCACTTGAGCTGTGCTGGGGGCCTGGGCTCATGCCCAGAGTCTCCCTGGCCTGTCCAGACCATCAATGGCAAAACGCTAGGCTGACAACACCGCCCGGCCTATTGAACTAACACTGTGAAGGCTGCTTCACCCAAAGGCCTAAGAAACCCAAAGCTCCTTCATTCCCTTTCTCCATCCAGTCTGTCCCCAGGACCTAGCTCCCTGATGTCCAACAAGCTGCTTCTCACCTCTCACCCTGACGCCAACAGTTACTATGGGGGGTGGGGTGATGGGGCTCCGGGGCGGCAGGTGGGCTTGTGTTGTATATAAAAACAAGGCGATGCTTTAAATCTAAGAATATTGGTCCCCTGAAGTGATTCTTGCTGCCCCCCCTTCCCTCTGGCCCTCCCCACTGACCATCTGCCTATGACTCTGGCAAGCCCAGATGACATGGGGATTGTTGTTGCAGGTTGGGATTCTAGACAAAAATCCTATAACTCTCTTCTTGCTAGAAATCACCAGTGCAATCCTTAGTTCAGCAGATATAGTTTTCCATATAGTTTATAAACATGATAAGACATACAGTTTGGTAAGGGTGTGGGGCAGGGGACCTGTGTCTTTGTGTGTATATATATATATATATACGTGTGTGTGTGCGTGTGCGCGCAGAGTGTGTATATATAAGTGGACATAGTTATAAAACTGCACCTCCTGTGAGAAACTCATTGCACGTGATGAAGTTCTGAATTTCAGCCTCTGATGATCTTTCCTTTGGTAACTGGTTCTTGGAGCCCAGGGTCTGGGCTGGGTGTGCCAGGGTTGCCTGAGACATCAGGAATGAGAAGTGTCACCCCAGGGAAGGGACTGAAGGTGGCACGCTGTTGGATTCAGGGCAGGTTGACTAAGTAGCCTTCAGACAAAAGCCAAAATGCCACCTGCTCATGTACTCCCAGACGGCCAGTCAACCTAGCCTCTTGGGGAAGCATCCTCTGTTCCTCTGAGTCCTGCTTCCTCCAAGAATGGCAGGGTCCCCTCAGACCTCTCCAAATAACCAGGATTCCACAGAGCTCAACTCCCATGGGGCACTGTCCCATCCTTGCTGGATGGGTACTGTCCGTGGCTGCTCGGAGGGGGGCTGGCTGGGACAGCTGGGTGAGGTGTGCTAATCCCCTCCTGCTTGGGGCTGTACACTTTGGGTTTATAATCCACCAGGCAGGGTCCAGACAGCAGCTGAAGCCTTTACCAGACTCTGCCTGAAACCCAGCAGATCCTCCATTTATAAAAAAAGAAAAGAAATTCTGTTCCTTGGTGGACACGTGGCAGTGCTGGGTGCTGGTGCTCCGGGTCCTCAGCGAAGAGTGACTGCCAGCCCCAGTATCCAGGCCAGGATGGAGGCCCCCAAAGAACTGCTGGAGGAGGCCTGCTGCACCCCGCTGGGGGCACGGATGGGGGTCCTGCGGGCACACTTGCCCTTCCTCTTGGGCCGCGCGGTGGGCATGCTGTCATAGCTGAACTTGTGCTGGTAGTCAGGGGCATAGTCCTGCAGCTCGTGGGCATGCTTCCCAGTGCCCACCTTGGAGACCTGGTTGCGATTCCTGTGGCTGGTGCAGTTCTTGCCTGGCTTCCTAGAGCCCGTCCGAGAACCGGGCAGATGGCCCTGTGGGTGGCTCTTGTCCTTGGCGGAGCCACGGGCTGGGTGATGTTCCTTTCGGGCAGCTCTGTCGGTGGTGAGCGTGTGTGACTTGATCTGGTGTGGGGACGCTGGCCCGGTGCAGTTCCGGAAGTCCTCAGCACTCAGCATCTTCAGGTCCTGGCCCTGCCGCTGCTCAGGGGACACACAAGGGACAGCGGAGCTGGAGCCCCGGAACCTCTGAAGCCATTCCCACAGGGAGCGCGCCCGGCAGCCACAGTCCCAGGCGTTCCCGTTGAGGCGAAGGAACTCCAGGGCCCCCAGCGGTGCCAGACAGTCTCCCTGCAGCTCAGAGAGACTGTTGTTGAAGAGGAAGAGGGTAGTGAGCCGACGGAGGTCGTGGAAAGCCTTGTGGTGGACCCACTGCAGCTGGTTCTCATGAAGCAGCAGCCGATCCAGGTTCACCAGCCCCCGGAAGGTGTCCTGGCCTAGACTCCACAGCTTGTTGCCATGGAGAAATAGGTGGCTGAGGTTGACCAGGTCCACGAAGATGTCATCCTGCAGGTACTCAATGTGGTTGTCCTGCAGGTAGAGGTACTGCAGGCTGTGCAGGCCCCCGAAGATGCCCGCAGGCAGGGCACTGAGCCCGCACTTATAGAGGTAGAGGGCATGGAGCCTCACCAGGCCCTGGAAGGTCTCCGGCGCCAGTGTCCGCAGCTGCCGGTTGTCGCCGAGGTCCAGCTCCTCCAAGTGCACGAAACCCTCGAAGGTGTTGGGGTCGATGAAGGTGATGTTGTTGGAGTAGATCCACAGGGTGACCATGGCGGGGCTGAAGTGGCCCTGCTGGAGGAGGGAGATGCGGTTGTTCTGCAGGAAGATGCGCTCGCTGTCCTCCGGGATGCCCTCGGGGATGGCGGCGAAGTTGTGCGCCTGGCAGCTGACCGTCATGGGTGCCGGGTAGCACACACAGTCCCGCGGGCAGCCGCCGCCCAGGGGCAGCTCCCCGGCCAGCAGCAGCAGCAGCAGCTCCACGCAGCACCCTGATGGGGAGAGAGCACAGCCAGGTCAGGGGCTGCCCGGAGGTGGAGGCGGGAGACAGTCGGTCCGGGGGGTGAGGACCCGGCGGCACGTGACCCTCCTTGGCCGGCCCGCTCTGTCCTGTCTGCTGTGCTCAATTGTCTGCAATGGTGGCCCCTTTGAGGGCCTGGCTCCTGATGGGATGAAGGCGGGGATCCAGCCCAAGCCAGGCCCCCATCTGGGACTAGATATTGCTCTCTACACCCTGGCACCCCATCTCTACTGGGGGTTCTTTCCCCAGCCTGGGCTGTGAGATAATCTTGGGAAGGCTCTGATTGCCATACATACTCCCTAGCCCCGCCCCTAAACCCTAGCCCCGCCCAACCTCCTAGCCCCACCTCCTCAGGCTCTGTCAGCCCTGCTAGCGTGGGGGCCACACGGCAGCCAGCCTCCAGTTCCTGTCCCAGCGCTGCCACTCACAGTGATGAAGACTCCTGTTCCAACCAAGTAAATATCACGTATGGAGTTCTGAGGAGTCCCTTTATTTAAGTTATTTCCCCAAACAAGCAAAGCATGCATGCATAAAGCCAAAGTTGATTTCAAAAGACGCCTCTCATTTACAGTGCCTCCCACATCTTCAAGTATGTGACACCCCTCTGTGCCTCGGTTTCCTCATTTCTAAATAGTAATCGTTGTCCCTCGCTCAGCTGTGAAGAGATGCTGAGAAGACATAGGTGTGCAAAAGACGGGGGGTGGTACCAGGGCTGACAGGGCTCTGGGGCCCCTGAAGCTGCCAGACAGAGGCTGCCCCGATTCAAGTCCACCTCTGGCTCCTCCTCTCTCCCCACCCCCCCTGGAACTCCCAGGCTGTGGCTGCAAACCAAACATTGCCTCGAGACTGTCCGGAGCATTTTCTCTGTATCTTCCCTCTAATTGGGCATTAATTAGGCATTCGTTAATGGATCCTTACAATAATTTATTTTCGGATGTGTCCAGCCTGTGGTCGGATAATAGCCCCATGCTCATTATCGGAGCAGCCTCATTATGGACGATAGTCATTACCTGCCTTTTTCCAGGGTCGCAGCTGCCCCTGGCAGCCCAGCAGGCGCGCCAATGTTGGGGGGACAGGCTCCAGGCTCCTCACTGCCTGAGCTGGCCTCTTGCCCTTCCCTTCCAGCTTGGCCAGCTGGGTCTCTCAGGAGAGCTGGGGGCCTGGGGCAGCTCTGCCGATTCTTCCTGCTGCCAGCTGTGCCAAGTGTCAGGACAAGAGAACCACCCCTCCCAGCCACTCTCCACAGGTCCTGCTCCCGTGCTCTGGCTGGCCACCCAGCCAGACTCCCCTTTGCCTCTGCCCTAGGCCTGCCTCTGCCCCAGCTGCCTGCCCAGGCTCCCACAGGCCTCTCCACCAATGCCACCCCTCATTTCTGGCAGAAATAGCGTCGTAAATAAGTGACAGCTCCCAGCTGTTGGGAGTTAAGGCTCCCAGAGAGTGGCAGCTGCTTCCCGTACCCCTGTAATCACCCGGCTTCGACCTAACGTTTCCAACACATAAAAATCATTGCACATAATTTGGTTTTTGCATAATTGGGTTCAGTTACGATTTCAGAGCAATTATGACCTCCGTTGTGGTGGTGGTGGTGGCAGTGCAGCTGTGGGGGACCCTTTCTGGGCCAGGCCATGCTCTCTGCGGCCCCTGCAGTGGCTTCGGTCATCGTGACTACTGGACAGCCTGCAGCCTGCAGGCCAGGTCCAAGGTTGGCATGCCTCCTCAGTCTGTTTTCCCTCTGTAACATGAGTAAATGATCACCATGTCACCCATGTGGAGCCTTGGGTCTGACTTCCAGCCCTCCACTGCCCACTGCAGTTTGGCCAGGGAACCCCAGCCCTACAGGGGGAGGTAGGAGTGTGTGGGAATAGGAACCTGGACCCCAAACCTCAGCTGACCCTTGCAGAAACCGCCTGCCGCCTTGAACCTCCAACAGGCAAGGCGGGTAGGAGGGCCCAGCACACACTGGCCACACCTTCCAGAGCCTGGCACTCCCTTTCCCTTTGCTCAGCTCCACCCCTCACCCTTGCCCAGGCTGCTGTTTTCCAGCCCCCACCCTGCCACTCTGAGGGAAGCCAGGGTCCCCTCCTAGCTCAAAGGAGTTCATGATGCCCACTGTCCAGAAGGGGCAGGGCCATGGCCATGAACCTGTGCTTGTGGGACTCACAGGGCCGTACCTACCATCTCATCTCAAAGGTTCTACAAAGACAAAGGCATTTCCTTCCCTTAAGCTGCTCACTGTGGGGACAGGGTGAGCTGGGGCAGGCTCAGCATTAATGCCACTTGACATTTGTGCAGCTTATGGAGTTGACAAAGCACTTCTGCTCAAGCTCCTCTGATCCTCAGGATTACCCCGGAGAGGGGGCGGGTTTCCTGCCCCATGACCTGGGTGGGGGGCAGACAGCCCTTCTGCCTGGTTTTGTGGCTCTGTCTTTTTAAGGTTCTGGGATGGAGTTATCTGAAATGATTGCCAGAGAAGTTAGGAGGACCACAGAGAGCAATACCCCTTCCTCAGACAGGTGCCTCCAAGGATGTTGGGGTACAAGGGGAAACCAGGTGAAGACCCCGGTTTGGGTGAAAAAGCCAAGTGCCCAAAAACCGAGGTGTGAGCTTAGCAAGCTGGCATGCAAGCAAACTTTGGCAGGTAGGAGAGGGTCAAATAACAGGGGGTGAGGTGAAGGCAGGACGGAGGGCAGGAGCCACCATGCCCATCCTCTTGAGAGGGGCCCCGAAGGAGGCAGGGAGCCCAGCCAGTGCTTGGAGCAGCTCTCCATCCTTCATTACTGCTCAGATGCCAGGGAACCCGTGCCACGGAAGCTGCCCCCTCCCACTGGGCACTAGAGTGGGTCTCAGCTGAGTCTGCTTCTCCACTCTGGAAGCTGGTCCCATCTCCAAGGCCCTGGACCAGCTCTCCCAGCCAACCCCACCTGCCCCTGGCACTCCCTGCCTGAGCCAACGGGCGCCCTGGCCCTAGATTGTTCCCCTGCAGGGTTCCTTCCCAGGAAGGCTGGCACTGCATTTCTGAGACTCCTCTTGTGCCCCCTCCGTGAGGCCCATGGGAGCCCCAGCCCACTGATTACTGATTAATGCACTAACAGGGAGGCTGGTGCCTTTGCTGTGCATTTTAAGATTGCAAATTAGCAGGGATCCAAGTCTCCATGGAGGAGCCTTGCACCCTCTCCCATTAGCCTCCTCAGCCCCCTCCTGGTAAGGCAGGGGTTGCTCTGCCTAAGGGAGGCTGAAGAAAGCAAGGCTGGGTCTCCCCCACTCTCTGGCCTTCCTCAGGCTCTCCTCCTCCTTGTCCTTCAGGGACATGCACCTGACTGACTGCTCTGCTCAGCTACTCCCAAATTTCCTGGCCTCCCCCATATCTGAGCTTACCTGCGTCTCTGCAGCCTCATTCATCCCTTCCTCCATTCAATACTTGCTGCCAGACTCCTGGAGTATCCAGGATGCCAGGGCAGGGTGGGGCCTGGGCGAACTGGGCGGGTCCTTGTGGACTAGCAGAGAGGGGGTCTCCCAATACTAGGCAGTCTGGCCAGGTGCCAGGCGCAAAGTCGGCGCCTAGGGGTGTGCAGGGGGTGTGGGGAAGTTCAGGGAAGGTTCCTGCTGCCCCCATGTCACCTCCTCCACGAAGCCCTCTGTTCCCCTGCCAGTGTAGAGGATGTGCAGGAATGATGTGTTTTCAAGTCCTCCTTCCTGCAAACCCCCAAATCCCTCACCTGCTGGACAGGGACCTGTTGGGACAGAGGTGAGTGGCCTGAGCATGGGCAGGCACCTCCCCCAGTCCATTCAGCAGCCCGTTCCTAAGATGTGCACAAGCCAGGTCCCACGAGGGCTGGACCTGGCGGGATGGGTGGGACGGGCATGTGCAAAGACACTGAGAGAGGGAAGCAGGCCCCCTCTTACCCTGGCCCCTCTGAGGAGCCAGAGCGTCCAAAGGGGCTGTAACTCCAGCACTGACAGGGCTCCCACTCCAGCCCCAGCTGGACGGCCAGTGTGGCAGGGCCCTGCACTTCGCCCACTCCTGGCGGCAGGAGGAAGCTAAGCAAGGAAGACCCAGCCCTCAGCGGTGCCAGGATCTTTACATGGAATCCTCACGACACCCCGTGGGTGCCATGCCACTTTACGGAAGAGGACACACAGCACACACAGGGAGTGGCTGGCCAAGGCCACCCAGCTGGTGAGCCAGGCAGAGGAGCAGGCCTCACCCAGCTGACTCCAAATCCAGAAGCTCCACGCTGCATGGGGAGGGCGGGCAGGTCTCAGGCCTCACACTGATCTAGGTCTGACACCACCTGGCCCCAAAGGGGCTCCCCCTCCATACACCTTCTCAGGAACAGCCTATGGACTGGCATGCCCATGGTCCCCCAGCAGGTCCATGGGGCTCCCTGAGCCTCGGAAACCGAGAGCCATGTGGTCAATTCTTCCGGCTCTGCATCCCGCACTCCCCGTGAACTAGGCAGAGATCCCCCCACCCCCAGCCTTGCCAGATGCCCCTCTCTAAGCCAATCGATGCTAACTGAATGGCTCTGCTGGTCAGATAATGACCTCAGGCAGCTGGCTATGCTCACAGAGCTACTGGCGCCGCAGGACACTTGGCACTGTCCCTCTGTGCTGCACCCAAACACAGGCCACTTCCTGGTGAGCATCCTCCCGCCACATCAGGTGGCCCAGCCCTGGAGACAAGGAAGCCAGCAGGGCAGAGCCGGGCTTCCCTCCTCAGCCCCACTGCCAGACATGGGGGCTGGGCGGGGCGGCGGCGTTTCACGGCACAGCCTTCAGAGCCAGAGAGACCTGGGTCCCTGTTCCCCAGCTTAACGAGTATGTCCCCTTTCTCATGTGCGCCTCATTTTACTCCCCTGTAAAATGGGTATTATCCTTTAAAGCTGCAGCCTGGCCCTCCTTGTCCTTGGACGCCTGCATCCACCTGCCTCCTCTGTATCTCCACCGGGCAAATGCAGTCCGTCCAAAGCTGAGCTGC